AGACAGTCGGTTCCCTTCAGAGATGCATTCATATAAAACACCTGCGACGCGTTTTGATTTTGAAATGTGCAGCGCTCATGTTTATTCAACGAAGTCAAACGCCACAAATAAATCAATGTATGGGAAACACTGGTAATGTATATTGGAAATGTGTTTAAAAATCATATCACCGTTATTGAAAAAAATTATATCGCGATACATATTGATATTGAATTATTGTCCAGCCCTAAGCACACTGTATTTTTTAACCCAGAGGGCAGAATTACAGTGATGTTATTTACCTTGTATGCTCCAGTGAAGCCACATCAGTCAAATCAAACACAATGATTACAGCTGTAAAACATAAATAATACTTAAAAATTAAATTACATTTAAATCATCTAATTATTAAATTGTTTTTAGTACTATTACCAGATTTAGATATATTGTACATTATAGTGTATAAAATATTTAACTATTGTTATGCAAAAATTATATATGATTTTTTTATTATATTTTAAATAATATATTTAATATTATCATCTGGCGAGTCATATACGCTGAGCTCCTCTGTAGTATGTAGAGGCAATGCATTTAAATCTCTCCTGTCCTGCAGTGTCCCACCTGAAAAATTAAAACAAAAACGTATTTAAAATAATTATAGAAAATACTTGTTTTAGACTGTAATAAAATGTACTTACAGTTGTAAACTGAAAGGGACCCCAAGGACTTCAAATCTCTCCATTTCAAAGTCCACACCAATGGTGGCCTTGTAATTTTTGTCAAAGACATCTTTACAAAACCAAAAAAAAAAATGCAGTAGATTAAATTACTATATTCAGCCAAACAATAAGTGAAAAGCGAGCTGAATTCTTTGATATGGATATTAAACATTAATAGGTGTAGCTTTGCTCACCTATTAATCAGACAGGTTTTCCCCACTGCCAGATCACCCACTACAATGACCTTGGAGATCTTAAACCTACTGGACAAAACGAAAAAAAAAAGGCACTGAATAAAACAATGCTGCATAATTTAAACCATCCAAACAGTTCTGAAAATACCCCCAAGCCACTGTTTCAACAAAGGATAACATCACACCCCACAGTTCCTGTCCTCTGCTGCAGACAGGCCGTCTTCACCTTGCCGTGAAATTCATCCTCTGTGTTCAAAGCAGCACCTTTGTTGAAGCACTACAACAGGAGTGAATATTAACACTCATTACTTCAGGAAGCACTCGAGGAAATGGATTTCAGATTGGTTAAGTTGAATGGGTTTCAGAACAAACAATACCTTGAGCATCGGTGAATTGTGTGTAAAGCAGAGGGACGCGGGAAGTAGGGGTGCTGAGGGGGCTGCAGCACTCCCTGTTTTCACGTGGTTGCAAAGCGCCAAGTTTGTTCACTTAAACTTATTCAGTTTTAACATTTAATAATTTATTTGTAATGATCTCGGAAATGTAAACTGTAAGTGGACTATAATAAACCCATGTTTATCTTTATAAACATGATTCATTTTACTTGTGATGTTTTCTATATGGGATGATTAGCCTAATCCTCATGAACATGTGACGCTGTGCATGGTTTCATACATGAACTATACAGAATGCGAACAAGATTAACTTTAATACAAGGAGATAATGGCGCAAATGCGAATTTCAGCACTGACGTAAGTGAACCAGCCCCCCCCCCCCCCCTTCACCAAACATGGACACACACAGCACCCCCAACCGAAAACATCTTCCCGCACCCCTAAAGCATGTACCTTAGGAAGCTAGCTAATTATGCTGCCTTTCTTTACAGGGGGCAGTACGCTCATGATGATGCTTCTGCAGGAGAAACACAAAGTTATGAATCACAGCTTGGCATTTTGTAACATGGCACACCATTAATATCAGTAATGGCTGCTCAGAATGAGGCTCACTTGCAGGATTAAAATAAAGGCCTAATCTTTCAGTTTAGCACGTTACTCTTGTGTAAATGTAACAGTCATGAAACAACAAACATGTCGGATTAGTTTTAATTTAAATAGTTGCCAACTTGGTCATTAGACCATGGGTGGTGACTCACTAATCTGTATCTGTTAATCCTACAGTAAATCTGAGAACAAAGAAATAAAAACCTAATTTGTGGCAAAACCTATTTGTGATGCCTCTTTTTATACTTTTGGTGCAATTTGTGCTTTTTACACACTTACGTGATTACATTAACAACATAAGTATTACGTATTTTTTATGACTAGTATGACTAGTGTGATGTACATAAACATTTTAAGAACAAACGAAAGTCCATCCTTTCTAGTCAAACTCAATCCGTGCTTTGTAACACTGTTGCTACAAACAAACGTGTGCTTCTTACCTCAGGACGTTTTTTTTCTGTGAATGTAGCGCTAGTTTCCTGAGACAAAGACATTTGAAATGCCTTTAAGGAAAGAAGAATAAAAAGGAAAAGAAACAAAAGGGAGGAGGGGGATATGAGGCGCTTCTAGCATTCATGCATCGCGTACAGTTTCCAAGTTTCTGAAGAAAATGGCAGGATATTCCGACCGACGGAAGCACTGTGAGCGGCGTACAGATGGATTCGTCTGCTCCAATCCCCCGGTCTGGTCTGGTCTCTCCCCACCAAAACCAGGAAAGAGGGATAGAAAACGCCTCCTACAGTCCAGAGTTTACAGACCGGTTACAGCAGATAGGCTATAATACGGTTGTTACCGTACTTTTCTTTTAATACTGTGGTTACCAAGGTACTACTGATGTTACTTTATTTTAAAGTTAGGCCTAAAGCTCACAAACACTAAAAACAGCACGAATATAGATTTGAAATGAGTTTATAAACACTGTGCTCAATTCATATACATATATATATATATATATATATATATATACA